AAAGGAGGGGAGCATCCCACCCCACCCACCCACTGAACAGAAGGAAGAGCCTGTTCACGCAAACATGAGGTCAAGGAAGCCGGCCATTTGGAGAGACTGAGCATAAGAAGAAAGAAAAGGAGGAGGAGAGATGAGACAAGAAATGAGTGTTTGTTGAGTGAGTAAGTGGCTGAACATAGAGATGAAAGACAGCCAGCTAGATGGCTGGATGGATGAATGGGGGTGGAGACTATATTAAAAAGTTTTCGATTTCTTGAATGCCTTACTAAGAAATGTGTGCTTTTTTTCCACAAGCAGCAGGTGATGCATTCAGAACCATATTTTGGACACTCTGACCAAAATGAACTGGGGAAAGCAAGTTTGGGTACCAAGGGGATCTCCTTGGGCCTCATCTAGAGTGACCATTTGGAATCTTCTTGTAAGGGAACAGAAAGGGAGAAAAGCAATGTCATCAGCAGCCTTCTAGGGTAAATGATATATTCCCAACTGAGCCATGGGAAACTGAGGCTCAGAAAGTGATTTGTCCAAAATTACCTGTCTACACAGAATCAAGATCGACCACATCTGCCCATCTATGCAGTTTGTGCCTCATCTGCTCATGCACGTCTGCTTGAGGAGATGGCCTGAAACTGAGCCACCCAATCCCTCTTGCCCAAGGAACCCCTGCACCTAGTGAGTGCTCACTTGAACTTAGCACCAGTTGCTAAATACAGGCCGCACTGGCTCTGCGGGGCCTCCGTCTGTACCTCCTCCCTGCCCACTTCCAGAAGAACATGGAGCAGATTCACAGGGCAAGAAATCTGGACAAGGCTCTAGCTGTGACCTCTCTCTCACCCCTCAACCACCTCTACTGCACATAGTTTCAACCAGTGTAACATGCTATCTGACCCTCTCTGGGCCTTTGCACATGCTATACTCTCTGCATGACTTTTTCATGCTTTCCCTGTCTAGCTAATATCTTCTTGTACTTCGAGGCCAGCTCAAATGTCTCCTCTGCTAGGAAGCTTCCTCTGACCCCATGGCTGGGTTGGGACATCCTCTATGCCTCCATGGCTTTTGACTTTTCTCAAGATGGCACTTACGTGTTTATATTTTTTGTTGTCTAGTTGCATCATCTTTATCTATCCCACTGTGAGCTGCTGGAGATCACTCTAAGGTTCTCAGCACAATCACAGGGCCTGGCCCAGAGTAGAACCAGAGAGCACTGGAAAGATAGATAAGCGATTGGATAGACAGGTAGATGAACAGATAGATGGGTGGACAGATAGACAAACAGCTTCTTCCCTTAAGGGAAAAAAAACTTTGGACTTGACTCCCCCACCTGCAAGAAGAGTCTCCTGATCTGGGAGAAAAATCAGTCTTAAAAACTGAGACTCTTGATGGCACAGAATAACTGAAGATAAAAACGTATAGGTGCATAGGCCAGGCTCAAGCCTGTAAACCCAGCACTTGGAGAGGCCACAGCAGGTGAATCACCTGAGGTCAGGAGTTCGAGACCAGCCTGGCAATATGGTGAAACCCCATCCCTACTAAAAATAGAAAAATCAGCTAGGCATGGTGGTGGGCACCTGTAATCCCAGCTACTCAGGAGGCTGAGGTAGGAGAATCACTTGAGCCCAGGAGGTGGAGGCTGCAGTAAGCCAAGATTGCACCACTGCACTCCAGGCTAGGTGACAGAGCGAGACTCTGCCTCAAAAAAAAAAAAAAAAAAAAAAATTTTTTTTAAAAAACGTATAGTGCATAGACCTGCACATCTGATTCATTCAATTTCACTGAGGTTAAGGCTAAATGATGTGGGACATTATTGTGCTGGCTGGGGTTCAAGGACAAGGTCACAGAAAGTCTTGTACATAGATTTAAGGGTCTTGACTTTTATCACAAGGCTGTTGGGGAGCTAGTGGAGGGTTCCTGGGGCATGATAAGGAGGCATCCACATCTCCTGAGTCCCCTAAGTGAGGATGAGATTGAGAGTCAGAGGCATTAGCTTCAGGTATTCCTTCTTGTCCATTCTTCAAAGGCTGATTAGACAAACAGATGGTCCCCCAGACTTGAGGATGCCCATTCTGGGGCAGAGATGATGTGTTAGTCCATTTTCACATTGCTGATAACTCTCTCAAGTTCAAAGTTCCACAAATCTCTAGGGCAGGGGCAAAATGCTACCAGTTTCTTTGCTAAAACATAACAAGAGTCACTTTTGCTTCAGTTCCTGACAAGTTCCTCATCTCCATCTGAGGCCACCTCAGCCTGAATTTCATTGTCAGCATTTTGGTCAAAGCCATTCAAGACATACTGGAGACTGAGCAATTTACAAAAGAAAGAGGTTTAACAGACTCACAGTTCCACATAGCTGGGGAGCCCTCACAATCATAGTAGAAGTTGAAAGGTACATTTCACATGGTGGCAGACAAGAGAAGAATGAAAGCCAAGCAAAAGGGGTTTCCCCTTATAAAACCATCTGCTCTCTTGAGACTTATTCACTACCACAAGAACAATATAGGGGAAACTACCCCCATGATTCAGTTATCTCCCACTTGTTTCCTCCCACAACTTGAGGAAATTACAGAAGCTACAATTCAAGATGAGATTTGGGTGGGGACTCAGCCAAACCATATCATTCCACCCTGGCCACTCCCAAAGCTCATGTCTTCACATTTCAAAACTAATCATGCCTTCCCAACAGTCCCCCAAAGTCTTAAGTCATTTCAGCATTAACTCAAAAGTCCACAGTCCAAAGTCTCTTCCAAGACAAGGCAAGTCCCTTCCATCTATGAGCCTGTAAAATCAAAAGCAAGTTAGTTACTTCCTAGATACAATGGGGGTACAGGCATTGGGTAAATACAGTCATTCCAAATGGGAGAAATATGACCAAAACAAAGGGGCTACAGGCCCCATCCAAGCTCCAAAATGATTTCCTTTGACTCCATGTCTCATATCCAAGTCACACTGACACAAGAGGTAGGTCCCCATGGTACTGGGAAGCTCTGTCCCTGTGGCTTTGCAGGGCACAGCCTCCTTCCTGGCTGCTTTCACTGGCTGGCGTTGAATATCTGCAGTTTTTCCAGGCACATGGGGCAGGCTGTCGGTGGATCTACCATTCTGGGGTCTGGAGGACAGCGGCCCTCTTCTCACAGCTCCACTAGACCAGTGGGGACTCTGTATGAAGACATCCACCCCACATTTCCCTTCCACACTGCCTTAGCAGAGGTTCTCCATGAGCACCCCACCCCTGCAGCAAACTTCTGCCTAAACATCCAGGTGTTTCCATACAACCTCTGATATCTAGGCAGAAATACCCAAACCTCAATTATTGACTTCTGTGCACCCACAGGCTCAACACCACATGGAAGCTGCCAAGGCTTGGGCTTGTACCCTCTGAAGACACAACCCGAGCTATACCTTGGCACCCTTTAGTCATGGCTAGAGTGGCTGGAATGCAGGGCACCAAGTCCCTAGACTGCACACAGCAGAGGAACCCTGGGCCAGGCCCATGAATCCTCCTAGGGCTCCCAACTTGTGATGAGAGGGCTGCCGCAAAGATCTCTGACATGCCCTGGAGACATTTTCCCCATTGTCTTGGTGGCTCCTACTCACTTAGGCAAATTTCTGCAGCTAGCTTGAATTTCTCCTCAGAAAAGGGAATTTTCTTTCCTATTGTATTGTCAGGTTGCAAATTTTCCAAACTTTCACGTTCTGTTTTCCTTTTAAAACTGAATGCTTTTAACAGGACCCAAGTCACCTCTCGAATGCTTTGCTGCTTAGAAATTTCTTCTACCAGATACCCTAAATCAGCTCTCTCAAGTTCAAAGTTCCACAAATCTCTAGGGAAGGGGCAAAATGCTACCAGTTTCTTTGCTAAAACATAATAAGAGTCACCTTTGCTTCAGTTCCCAACAAGTTCCTCATCTCCATCTGAGACCACCTCAGCCTGAATTTCATTGTCCCTATCATTGTCAGCATTTTGATCAAGGCCATTCAGTAAGTCTCTAGGAAGTTCCAAACTATCCCACATTTTCCTGTTTTCTTCTGAGCCCTCAAACTGTTTCAACCTCTGCCTGTTCCCAGTTCCAAAGTTGCTTCCATATTTTCGGGTATCTTTTTTGGCAGCACCCCACTTCTGGTACCAATTTACTGTATTAGTCTGTTTTCATGCTGCTGATAAGGACATACCTGAGACTGGGCAATTTACAAAAGAGAGAGGTTTAATGGACTCATAGTTCCAAGTGGCTGGGGAGGCCTCACAATCATTACAGATGGTAAAAGGCACATCTCACATGGTGGCAGACAAGAGGAGAATGAGAGCCACGCAAAAGGGGTTTCCCTTATAAAACTATCAGATCTCATTGAGACTAATCCACTACCATAAGAACAGTATGGGGGAAATCGCACCCTTGATTCAATTATCTCTCCCTGGGTCCCTCCTGTAATACCTGTAATACAAGGGAATTATGGGAGCTACAATTCAAGATGAGATTTGGGTGAGGACCCAGCCAAACCATAGCACAGTGACTGAGACCTACATCCAGGCCAACCAAAATATCACCCTAAGTCTCCTCCTTATATTCTCTCTTAGCTCCCTCTAGCTCATGGGCCCATTCTAACTCTACTTGAACACAGATAGACATGCTGTGCCAAAAGGGCTGGGAAACATATGGTCTTAGAGTTTGAGCCCAAGTCCTTCTCCCACCTACTCCAGTCTCCAAGCAGAAAGAGATAGACATTCATTAGTAGATGCCATATACCAGGAGGCCAATCATATAAATCATTTCTTAACTCATTTAGTAAGTACATATTGAATGCCTATGCATCAATCAGAGAAAGAACCAGAAGATACACAGAATAAGAAATTTAGGGTATAGTGGCTCATGCCTGTAATACTAGCCCTTTGAGAAACCAAGACAGGAGGGTTGCTTGAGGCCAGGAGTTTGAGACCAGCCTGGGCAAAAGTGAGACTCCCATCTCAACAAAAAATCAAAAAATTAGAGGGATGTGGTGGCACTCACCTGTAACCCCGGTTACCCAGGAGGCTGAGGCAGGAGGATTATTTGTGACTGGGAGGTTGAGACTGAAGTAATCCATGATTATTCCACTGCACTCCAGCCTGGGCAAAAAAGCAAGACACTGTATCAAAGAAAAAGGAAAGAAAAATATTTATTTAGTGATTGGTCTTATGCAAGTGTGGGAGCCGATTAGATAGTTCACATGTTTCCATGTGAGGACCACTGGGCTAGCAGTGAAGAAGGGAAGATGATATGAAGTAGAAGCAAGGACAAACTGGCACCCACAAGCATTATCACCACCCTAAGCCTCTAACTTCAATGATGGCTGTCCTCTTGGAGAAGCCAAGGTACATGGAGCTGCACATGTACCCAGCCCAGGATTCAGCGAAGCTGAAGAGGCAGATGGGGTAAGAGCTGGAGGAGCCAGAGGGCCCTGGCTGCTGCCCCAGGCCAACCAGGAAAGCCAGGAGAGAAGCAATCAAGAGCAAGAACTCAGGTCCCCACACTGACTTTCCCAGCCCAGAAAGAATATGGCTGCTACTTCACTGCCACCTTCTGAATCTCAGGCAAAATATCTCCTGCAGCCCTTGTTAACCTGGAACTATGCAGGGGAAGGATGTCTGGGAAACAGGGCTCCAGCTCAGCTCAGCTGGCACAGTAGAGAGCCACTAACCTGCTGGGTGCCTGCAACAGGACTACTCATAGAGATTTAGCAGAGAAAAATCAGAGTCCCTGCCACTGCAGAGCTCACTCTCATGACAAAGACAACAGATGATTTTCATAACATTGCAGTCTGAGCAATACTACAGTAGGGCACATCTAGTTGTTGAAAGTCTACCACTGAGAAACAACAGTGAATTAGTTAGGATTACGTTCACATCCAAAATAAGAGACTTAAACACATCAAACTTTTTTTCTCTCTGACTTCAAAAACAGGCTGATACAATGGATCCTACATTGTCAGGGACGCAGGCTCCTGCTGCCTGGTTGCTGTACAATATGTGGCTTCATTCTCCTGCAGTCACTTCATGACCTGAGGTGTCTGCTGGCTGGTGCTACAGACATTAGGTCACAATCCCAACCATCAGCTACTCAGGAGGCTGAGACAGGAGAATCACTTGGACCTAGGAGGCATAGGTTGCAGCTAACCAAGATCATGCCACTGCACTCCAGCCTGGGCAACAGCATGTCTACTCCCTTCAAGGAGAGTTCCTGGAGTTTCACACCTAACTTCTGTTATCAGCCAGAATTCAACATCCAGCTGAAAGAGAGGCTGGAAAACACAGTCTTTATTCTAGATGGCAAGGTGCTTAAGTAAAATTTGACAGTTCTATTAGGGAGGAAGTGGATGCTGTGGGTCAACCAGCAGTCTCTATATCAGGTAACAGACAATAGTGGTCAACATCTGAGATTCTGGAGTTACACGAACCTAAATTCCATTCCCAGCTCTCCCACTTTACAGCTGTGTGATATTGAACAAAGCAATTACCTTATCTGAGCCTTTGTTTCTCCAAGTACATGACAGCATTATCATTACATGCCAGGCACTATTCTAAGTACCTTATAGAGATTGTTCTTCTTAATCCTCACAAGAACCTATGAGTTAAGTAATATTATCATCCCCATTTTACAGATGAGGAAGCTGAGGCTCAGAGTACTGAGATAACTTTCCCCAGATTATTTTCATACATAAACATACACTTAGTGAGTGCCTGTTCAGTCCCAGGCTCCATTCTGGGCTCTGGAGATGCAGGGAAGTCAGACATGGCCCCAGCCCTGTGGGGTCCCAGCAGCAGGGAGGTAGAACTTGGCCTGTTCTTTCCACTCCTCCAGGCTGTCCCCCAGTTACACGCAGGCAATGGATTGGGAACTGGGTGTAAGGAAACAACAGCAAAACATTTCCTTCTTTTTTTGTAAGTTCTGGGATACATGTGCAGGTTTGTTATGTAGGTAAACGTAATGGTTTGCTGCACCTATCAACCCATCACCCATTAGCTATTTATCCTAAAGCTCTTCCTCCCCGGCTCCCTCTACAGGCCCCAGTGTGTGTTCTTCCTCACCCTATGTCCATGTGCTCTCATTGTTCGGCTCCCACTCATGAGGGAGAACATGCAGTGTTTGGTTTTCTGTTCCTGTGTTAGTTTGCTGAGGAAAATGGCTTCCAGCTCCATCCATGTCCCTGCAAATGATATGATCTCATTCCTTTTTGTGGCTCATAGTATTCCATGATATACACGTACCACATTTTCTTTATCCAGTCTATCACTGATGGGCATTTGGTTTGATTCTATGTCTTTGCTATTGTGAATAGTGCTGCAATGGACATACTCATGCATGTATCTTTATAATAGAATAATTTATATTCCTTTGGGTATATTCCCAGCAAATCATTTCTTTGATTTGCTTCTTCCTAGAGTTTCCAGCCTGGCCCATACCAGCTGTTTGAGAGCATCTTCCCACCCCAAACTCAGCACAAACAGCTCACAGAGAGATCTGGCTGGGGCAAAGAGAAGAAGCCAGTCAATCAATGGGTCACTCAACAGAAGCTCCTGGTCAGACTGACAACAGCCCACTGAAAACAGCAACAGTGATAGTAACCCCAAGGTACACCAGCTTGGGCCTTCTGGTCACAAAGCACTTGCACATCCACTACTACATAAGGTCCTTCTTTTATAGAGGAGGACGCTGGGGTCTGAAGAAGCTAAGTCACTTGCTAAGGTGACACAGGAGGTATTCAAGGCAGGTATTCTAGGAAGCATTCTAGAAGGTAGAGGCAGAGGTGTGGCACTGCCTTGTCCATGTAAGGACTCAGACATGGCTTAAGTGGCCTTGGTACTGACTGGGTCAAGGAGGTGAGCACAGAGGCCATTAAAGAGTTTGGTGTTTTCCAGTAGGCAGCAGAGAGCCAATGGCAGGAGCAGATAATGCCCAGTGGGAACCCTGCAGTGGGGCTGCACGTTAGGGGTCTTTGGAAAAAAGCAATCCAAGTGTTTGGGCCCAATATCTTCAGCAGCATCTCAGGGAGCTAGCTTGAGCTTTCCCAGCCACAGGCCTCAGTGTGCCCCTCTGTGACCAGAAGGCTCCTCAGTGACTGTGAGAAGCTGGGTGAGAGACGGCCATTCTCGAGGCCTCGGTCTCCACTTCTGCAGAGCCCTTGCCTCACCTCGGTCCCACTCCTGGGCACACAAGGAAGGCCACACCACACTCTGCACACTCTAGACCTCATTCTAAATCAGGCCATCTGTCCAACCTGGTGTCAGTGCTTTGCCGGGCATACCAGGAGACAGGGAGGAGGGAGCCAGGTGGATCCTGAGTTCCCATGCTGGCCCTGGATTCCCCACATGCAGGAAGGAATCACAGCAAAGACCATTCAGGGGGGTTGTGCCAAGTAAACAAGACAACCTCCAGACAGTGCCAAACACCATATGGGCACACAAAATACCCTCCATGAGTGGGGGTTCCCTCTTTTCCCCATTGCTTTGCCCAAAAGTCTGGACAGACATGATTCACAGACAGAGAATACCAGAGCTGGAGATCAGCCCCTCATGGAGCCACGATGGTTGAGGCCAGAAAGAAGAAGGGACTTTTCCAAGCAACAGTGATGGCAACCCCACTGTACACCAGTTTAGGCCTGGCTGGCAATGCAGACCCAGGCAGGCATAGCACTCAGGTCCTCTGACACCCATCTGAGGGATCACTGCCCCTCTGATCCATAACTCTATGCAGATTATGGGGAGCTTAGTCATTGATGCTGGGACCTGCAAAGTGGTAGCTAGAGTCCACTGTGTCACTGATGAGCATTCAAGAAGCCCAGCCCAGCCACATCCCCATTAACATCTCCACCACCTATTGCTTTGAGGAGCAACTGTATGATTTGTGATTTCTGACATTTGCCCCCTTCCCAAACCCCTCCTCGCTTTCCTGTTTGGCCTGTGAATTGGAAAGAGCTGTAAACAGGCAGGCAGTCTCCTCGCCCCGGGGCGGGCCTGTCAGCCAGCCAAAGAAAGGTAGGACCCAGGGGACCCCCACCCCCACCCGCCCCACGAAGCCCAGCTGAGGAGCTTGTAAAGATAGGATTTGTTTGTTTTTTTGGATCTGGCTCAGGATCTGGTTGAGGCCAGACCCTTTGGGGAAAAGCAACTTTTAAATAAATGCTTCAAGATTGTGCAAACATTTCAGTAGTATTGGAGGCCTGGCGTTCTGGGTCAGGGAGGGAAAAAAATACCTGTCAATCACTCTAGAGATGAAAACCTGATAGCAGAATGGTTGCTGAGGACTAGGGCTTGGGTTGCAAATCTCAGTTGTGGCTGGCTGAGACCGAACTACACTTAAGCCCTCTCTCAAAAAATCATTTGCATGTTAATCAACAGAGCAGCCCTGTTTGACAGGCACACAGAGCACAAGGCATTTGCAATCACATCCATTCGATGTGTGCAAAAAGGACAGACTCCTTTTTTTGTTTTTTTGTGAGATGGAGTCTCGCTCTGTTGCCAGGCTGCAGTATAGTGGTACAATCTCCATTCACTGCAACCTCCACCTCCAGGATTCATGTGATTCCCCTGCCTCAGCCTCCCGAGTAGCTGGGACTACAGGCACGCGCCAGCACGCGCCACCACACTCGGCTAACTTTTTGTATGTTAGTAGAGACGAGGTTTCATCAAGTTGGCCAGGCTGGTCTCTAACTCCTGACCTCAGGTGATTTGCCTGCCTCAGCCTCCCAAAGTGCTGCGATTACAGCCGTGAGCCACCATACCTGGCCCAGACTCCTTTTTGAGGCAGATGGAACTGAATTTTAGTCCTGGCTCTGACACTGATTAGTTCTACAGTCTTGGGTAAGTTATTTTGTATCAGTTAGCCTCAGTCTCTTCACTGGCAAGATGGGATTGTAAGTTATTGTAAGAATTAAATGAAATACAGATTGCAATATCAAACCTGGCCCAAAGCAAAAGCACAGTAATAAATAATGAAAATATTGGCGGGGTGTGGTGGCTTACGCCTGTAATCCCAGCACTTTCGGAGGCCGAGGCAGGTGCATCATGAGGTCAAGCGATTGAGACTCTCCTGGCTAACACAATGAAATCCTGTCTCTACTAAAGATACCAAATAAACCCAAAAAATTTAGCCAGGTGTGGTGGCATGTGTGCCTGTAGTTCCAGCTACTCGGGAGGCTGAGGCAGGAGAATGGCTTGAACCTGGGAGGTGGAGGTTGCAGTAAGCTAAGATCACACCACTGCACTCCAGCCTAAGCAACAGAGCAAGACTCCATATCAAAAAAAAAAAAAAAGACAATACTATTAGCTGCCATATATGAAGCATCTTCAATGAGCAGGGACTTACATTCATATGCAGTGAGCCTCAAAACACATCCTGCCTGGCCAGGCATTCACAAGCATATCCAAAATACCTATTCCATGCCAGCTCTCTGTTGGCCAAAAGTTACACTCAGCCTCTGACCTCAGAGCTCATGGTATTGAAACAAGGGTGCTCCAAGCTGACACTCCAAGCTCGGCAAGAGAAGTGTATGCAGAGCATGAAACAGGGAAAGAACGAGATGGTTCTGCGGGCTTCTGCGAAGAGGGAGGTCTATGCTGGGTCTTGAAGGAAGAATAAATGTCCACAGACAGGCTTTGGGAAAGAGTATTCCAGATGTAGGGACCAGTTTAAGCAAAAGCTCCAAAGCAGACCCTATATACAGAAAGTTAGGATGCAGTAAAGAGGGTTATTTGGAAAACAAAGCTGGCAAAGTTAGGCTGAAGTTGAAGAGCAAAAAATCCTGCACTGAGAGCATCACACTTGGTTTTCTGGGTCAGAGGAGTGTCTCCTCCTGCTCCACACCCTGCTTCTCCTCCCAGCTGCTGTGTAACTAAGGCAACAGCCCAACCTCTCTATGTCTACATAACCCCTTCTCCACCTACCTCAAAGGACTCCTGGAAGTGAGAAGGTTTTGAGAAGGTTAAAGCGCCACCACACTGGGTACCATTAGTTTACATGTACACACACAGAGAGACAAGCACATATGCATATGCTCAACACACCTACACACAGGCTCAGGAATCAGAAAAATCCGCTTCTGATCCCAGCTTCCCCCTTTACTGCAGCATAACCCGGAGCAATCATGTATCTAATGCATATAAAGCACCAATATGACACATGACATGTGGCAGGCACATATAATATGGTTATCATCGAACATGCTGACACACTCAAACTATGTCTCTCTATCAAGAGGAAACTGGCACCTAACCCACCCTATACATTCATGAGACCGTGCAGCCCAGAGATCAGCCCCCAACTCTCTCATGTTACATATGGGGAAACTGAGGCTCAGTGAGGCAAGAAAGCATACACAACTTGGAAGCAGAAGAGCACATGGCAAGAAGCCTTCCTGGAATGCCTAAAGCCTTCCTAAAATGCGCAGTCATCATGCTGAGTCTTAGAGATAGAGCAGAACTCCCACGGTGGCTCCATGTGGGAAGAGCATTTTAAGCAGAGCGGACAGCATGAGCCAGTGTCCAGAGAGATGTACTCAGGGAAAGGCCAGTCACCTAGTCTGTCAGGGGCAGGGATGGGGTGTGATAAAGATGAAGCTGAGGAGCTGGGGAGGCTCGAAGGTCTGGGAAGGGAGAGCCTGCTGCGGCATGCTAGGGAAGCCAGATCCCTTGGGAGCGTCGAAGAGCCCGATACTGGAGGACAGCGGCGTGGGTCAGCGTTTCAGAAAGATCCTACAGTGCCCCAAGCAGGACCGGAAGCTTGGCCCAGGGCAGTGCCAGGAGGGAGGTCAAGAAGTGGGTGGATTTGATAGACTCTGAGGAGATACAACAAGACTCCTCAAAGAGCATTATTTCCTGGAAAAAAAGACAGAATGGACACAGAGCAAGCACACACTCAAGGGACTGCAGCTGTGGGATTTTGAACAGAGGGACATGCTCAAAACAGGGGCCTTCCAGAGGCCTTCTCCCCATAGCCAGCCACTGCCCCTCCTGCAAGGACTCCTGCACTGCACCCCATTCCATCCCAGAGTGGAAGGCAACGGCCCATAGAGTAGGGTGGAGGAGAAAGGCCAGCGCCCCTTGAGGGGGGTGCCAGGGATGCCCAGTCAGCGGGCAGTGGACCAACTTCTCCTCCAACTCTATTGCCATCTGGCTACCTGCCTAGGGCTGCCCTCAGCCTCCTCCTGTGTGCCTTGGAGCCAGCCCCTTGCTGCTCTGACCCTCCGTCTCCTCCTCTATAAAGGGAAGGTAACAATTCTGAGGCTGCTGGGATAATTCAATGTAGTAGCTGGCAGCTGCCATGCCCACAGGGGACGCCCAAAGGGCGTCGGTTCCTCTCTCTCAGTAAATGATTCCTTTTATGTGTGATGTGCCCTTTCCAATTTACAAACCCCCTTCATTTACCTGCACACAACCCCGTGAGATGCGTATTGGGTCTCACCACCCGCGCCGCCGGGCAAACGCTCTCTCACACTGGCGAGTAGGATTGGAACCCGGGTTCCTAAGGCTCTCCAGGCCGCCACTGTCCCCCTCCTCTCTCTGCCTCTGGCTCCTCCCTCCTAGCCTGCCGCGGCCCGCCGCCCCCTCCTTCCTCCCCTCTTCCGCCCGCCCGCTGCCCCCTGCCTCCGCCTTCTACCACCCCCTGCCCCTCGCGACTTCACCCTCCCCGCTCCTCCGGCGCCGCCCCCTCCTCCTCCGCGTCCTCGGAGCCCAAATACGCGACACCTGGAGCAATAGCAGCCGCCCGGCGGCCTGGGCCTCATTACAGGCCAGCCCTTATCGCGGCGTGCATCACATTATTTCATTTCAAAGAATCCGCAGAGAAACCCGTCCCGGCCGACAACAGAAAGTAAAAACACAGCTGACTCCCATTAGGGCCCTCTCACAGGCTCCGCGTGAGGTAATGAAATATGGAAGCGGTGAGATATGTAATGCTTTATTAAGCGGTCTCAGCTACAACGGCGTGCATGCCAATTACGCCTGCAGGCTACCGCCCGCCCCCGGCCGCCGGACCACCCAGCGCGCCTCCCCCGCCCACCCCCCCAGTCCCTGAAGGGGAGGGGAGGAGCCAGGGGAGGAGGCGGAGGAAGGGGAGGATGGGGAGGATAACGGGGGAAGCAGAGGGAGGATGGAGGAAGTGGGTGTGAGGGAAGGAGGAGGGGAGAAGAGGGAAGAGGGAGGAAGAAGAGTTAGAAGATGAGACGGCAGAGGTGACCAGTGTCAACTCTGGGTCACCACCTCATGGGGCCTGAGAGCCGACCCTGTTCTTTTCCCCCAGGCCAGTGGGGCCCTGGGAATCTCAGAGCAGAAGGACGCCTAGATTCCTGGAAGACCAGACACGGAATGGCAAAATATAAGGCTCAGAGAGGGAAGGACACTCACTGAGGTCACACAGGTGAATCCTGAACAAGGTTGGAGGGAAGTCAGGCCTCCTGTTTCTTAAACTAGATAGCTTCCATTCTAACAGACTGCCTCTTCTTTTTCCCCTAATAATGTCTAAATGTCAAAGTCCCAGCCTTGTGTGGATGAGAAACCGTGTTCATTTTTTACATCTGCCCTTGAAACGCCCTGAAATCCTCTGTGCTCCTCCCCCCACCCCCTCCCACATATACACAATCTAAATGATCCTACATGTTTGCCCAAGAACACCTCATATTCAGTAATAAGAACTGAACAGCTACCGTGGCCAGGTGCTGGGGAAACAAAAATGAAACATGCATGCTCCCTACCCTGGAAGAGCTCACAGTCGGGCAGCCATCTAAACCAATAAGAGAGAGTGTAAGGCTTAGTGGAGTACCTGTTGCATAAAGAAAATCAGGCATATCTGTCCAGAAGGTCAGGGAAGCCCCAGGAGATGTGATGTTGGTACAGTCTTGTGAGGCGAGCAGGAGTTAGGAGAACAGGAGGAGAAATCCCTGAGAAATCTGCCTATGAAAACTTTGGAGCACTGAGTATCCACAACTCATTCGAGGAAGTACTAATATTTTTAGAAGGAAGGAACAAGACCAATGTTAGCTAAAGTGTAGAGATAGAGAGCACCAGAGGTTTTGTTAAGGTAAATTATTTAAATTAGTGAAAGGCAGGGTACTCATTCATCTCTTGGTCATTGTTTTTCTTTTGACCTTGCTCCCAGTAGAATTTCTCCAAGCTATTCATACTATTTTAGAGTAGAAAGGTCCAGATCTCTGTTTCATCATACAGGCAACATTACCCTCATTTTACAGATGAGGCTCTGAGAAGTTATTTGTATTTATTACACAGGAAAAAAATGGGACTTTTATTTATTGTGAACTTAGTATGTGCCCAGTACTGTGCTAAGCATTTTATATACATTTATTATCTCATTTGAGCCTTAAAAAGAAAAAAAAATCCTATGAGAATGTTTCCTAAAACTAACTTATTTCACTCTTAATGTCTTTGGACATGTTGTTTCTCCTGCCTTAGAAGTCTTCCTTTTTTTTTTTAACCTGGTACACTATTTAGGCTTCTGGCTAAATAATGAGCTTCAGACAAAAGAGCCAACACCACAGTAGTTCAGATAGGGTAGAAGTTTATGCACCTCTCATGCAATGGCTTGGAGACAGGCTTATGGCCCAAGGTGAATGGGGCAGGTGTGCTCACCAAGCTCATATGGGGGCTCCGGTTCATACTATTTTGTTGCCCTACCATCTCCTTATGGCCAAAACTTGTTCACCCACACCATGGCCACATTCCAGCCATGGGAAGTGGTGGCAAGTGATTTGACTTCCACTTACGTTCAGTTAGTGTAGAAACACAGTCCCACGGCTTCACCTAGCTACATGAAAGGATGATAATTATCATACCTAACTAAGTGGCCATGTGTCCTGCTAAATATGGGAGGAATATTTCTGTTATTAAAAGGAAGAAAAGAGCAAAATGGAATGAACAACATACGCCACCATCCCCACTTGTCATTTATGATCCAGTTAGAATGTTTCCTCCTCTGTGAAGCCTTCTTGGATGCCTCCCCAAGAAGAATTAATTGCCCCTTCATCTGTGTTTTTTTATGAGATGGAGTCTCACTCTGTTGCCCAGGCTGAAGTGCAGAGACATGATCTCAGTTCACGGCAACCTCCACCTTCCGGCTTCTAGTGATTCTCCTGCCTTAGCCTCCCAAGTAGCTGAGATTACAGGTTTGCCACCACATCCAGCTAATTTTTGTGTTTTCAGTAGAGACAAGGTTTCACCATGTTGGTCAGGCTGGTCTTGAACTCCTGACCTCAGGTGATCCACCCACCTTGGCCTCTCAAAGTGCTAGGATTACAGGCATGAGCCACTGTGCCCAGCCCATCTGTGATTTTATCCAGTCTCCTGTATTTTGCTGCTTTATATGTCTCAGTTTATAGGCCTATCTCCCCAGCTGGCCCTTTGAGCTATCGGCTTCTCATCTGTAATAATACACCCTATAAATAATAATCACTTGCTACGTCCCAGGCACTCTGCTAAGCACGTCTGGTGGTGGTGGTGATGGTGGTGGTGGTACTTGTAGAGACAGGATTTCACCATGTTGCCCAGGCTTGTCTCAAACTCCCAAGCTCAAGTGATATGCCTGCTTGGTCTCCCAAAGTGCCGAGATTACAAGCATGAGCCACTGAGCCCAGCGAGCTAAGCAAGTCTTCTTAATCTTCCCACAACCCTGAGGATTTCTTTCTTTGTAAAATGAGAATAATAATGATATTGACTTCCTAGGGTTGCTGTGAGGATTGAAACTGGTATTGAAATGGGTATTGAGTACATGCTTAATGCCTAATAAATAATACTATTGTGTAAGTATGGGTTAATAAATCTACCAATGTAAGAGGTTAGTCCAGTTACAAACTATACTCCCTGCCCAACACAACTAACAGCTGAGCTATAAACATTAACCTTACACCGGGGTATGTAGGCACCTAAAGGTGCAAGGTCAAAGAGGGGCCCTTGGTAAGGTGGGAAGTATTCTACGAATACAAAATACAGTCAGCCTTCATTATTTGTGGGTTCCTATTTGCAGATTCAGCCCACAGTGGATCAAAAATATTCCAGAAAATAAAAAATTTTTTAAAACTATATAACAAAAATAATATAAATGTTTAAAACAACTATTTACATAGCGTTTACTTTGTATTGGGTATATAAGTAATCTAGAGATGATTTAAAGTACGCTGGAGGATATGTGCAGGTTATATGCAAACATTATGCCATTTTATATAAGGGTCTTGAGCTTCTGTGGATGTTTGTATCAGTCTACCCCCAGATACTGAGGGATGACTACATCATAGTCCTGGAAAGCACTACTGTTGTTTCCCTACCATCAGGTGAGAAAGCAAATTTACTCAATTCAGCCAGAACCATGGCCCAAAGCAGACTGAGCACTGTGTTACACTGCTTCCAGAAATGTTGCTTAATATAGTACATATTTCTATTTTAATGGAGGGGAAGGGACAGTAACTGGCTAGCTACAGTGCCTAAATCGCTGGCCACAAAAATTGGCCACAGAAGAAAGATTATAGTTTGGACACATAGCTATTTTAGACACTATCACTACCTGGTGGCAGCAAGAAATATTGCCAGCATAGAATCTCATTCAGTCAAATGAGGCAAAAATTCCCAAGTACCAATCTTGAATTGTTTTAATATGCTAGACATAATCAGAACCTTTTCAAAACATTTGGCTTTCTTTCTCTTATCAATAAGCTACCCCAGTCCATTTCCATTGTTCTTGGCCACTAGCATGTCCTGTATTTATTCTTCTTTATGCTTTAGAATTTCTGGAAACAGAATGTGTTTACAGTAGGGTCAGCCTCCAAGAGGAAGAGTTAATTATCAGGTAGTTCTCTCATGTTTATGTAATGTTACTTCAATTGTGTAATCTACAATGATAATAATATACCGATTGACTGTTAAATTTAGATACCTAATTATTGCTGTAAGTGTCCCACAAAAACATTGAATTTGGTGCAAAAATGAAGTTGGTGTTTATGCAAGAGATGTACTGTTACCCACCAGCCAGTGCAGTACCTGGCAGTTAAACTTGCCCAGGCTCCCTGAATATATCAGAGGATTTTCTGAGATGGTTCTGACAAATTGATCCATCAAGTCCTATAACTTGGTCACTAAACACCTGCCTATCAAACCATCCAGCTAATTTTCAAAAAAAGCTATTTAACTTCCAGAAATATGCAATGCAGATAATGGAGCACAAAGGAGAACTGTGTGTTTATTCAAAGCAGAAAGGCACACAAAACACCAGTATTATTCAATATGTCTTGAGATCATACTGTCAATTTTAAAGAAATAAAGTTCACATCCATGAGATGCAAAAATAGCACCATGGCCATAATATTCTGCATAATTGCTGATAATCTAAAGGAATTCAACAGAATGAAGATGTTCCATTATACCCTCAAACACTGATTGTGATCCTGAAAAAAAAGTGACCATTTGTAGAAACAGCTGCGTGTTATCAGTTACATTTTTAAGTATGTATTTTTAATGTGCAATTCTCCCCCACTCCAAACTGTAATTAAATCAATAGGGCAT